CCGGTTTTCCGAAAAATCCCACCTTCAAATTGGGTTTCTAAACAGTGCGGATATCTATGTTTCTCATAAATCCATACAGATTGGATAGATGGGTTTTTGGTGAAAATACGTTGAAACAAACATGGTGTTTCTAAAAGCCATACTTGAGAAACATAGATATCCATTGAAAAGCTCCCAACCAAACACCTCCTTATGTCTTTTCATATTAAAATTTATACATCTAAGTTACTTTGAACTTCTTTATGTTTGTTGTCATCAAGGGGAAGATTGTTAGCCAAAGGTACCATTTTTAATTAACTTTACGATGATAATAAACAACTACGCACCAAGGTGCTCATGATTTCTCGGCTACCCATTGAAGGACGGAACTATGAAATGACCTCAAGTACACTTGGGGGGCAATCCTCGCAAACAATTGCAATTAAGACTAATCTTGCCACCGAAGTCACCAGATAACAACCTCCAAGACTTTGATCTTAGGTTCTTTTCAAGACTGATGAATCCAAAATCCAAGGCGGCCAAATCCACCAAAAGCAAGACACAACACGTCTAATAGCAACTTGACCCCATCCGTTCAAGCCGACCTCAAGAAGCCATATCCATGACACAAAGCTTGGCCTTCTTAGACGCCTCGAACAAGAAGGATAAATGCTTTAATTTGGCAGCCAAAACTCTTAGATTATCGAACTGGGGAGCAATTATTCTGGACCCATGTTATGGGTCTCAAGTTTAGTTAAACAAATTGGGCCTAGCCCATCTTTAGGTAAAAAAACTCTCTATAAATAGAGGATTTTACCTTGCATATATGCTCTCTGGAACCTTAATCCTTGTTTGTTGTCATTGTGTGCGCACACACCTCCCTTGGCTCATTATCGTTCGTCTATGCACAATAATTTTTCACCACCTACAACTGTATTCTCCATAAACTCCGCTAACTACAAATCCTATAACAACCTTTGATCCTCATGGATTAAACAGATTCATTTGAATTTATATGTGTACAACACACTGAAGAAGAGAAAACTTGCATTTTTTCCAACATAATTTTGTGGTAAGATCCAAAGATGTGATGTGAAGGTATTGAATATTATTTTAACTCACGCTTTTAATGTGATAACCACTTGATAAACCTTTAGTTTATCTTGTTTAATGGACTAAAATAATATGAATTATCTAGTTGAACAAGTCAAAAATTAGGGTTTTAAAATGATAATCATGAACATTATCTGATTGTTGGAACTAATTAATATATTTGTTATTTTTAAAGGGATTTGATAACAAATGATTCAAATATGAAGATTTAGATAAAGAGAGATCAAATCAGAAAAGAAGATGAATCAAGGTGAAAACAATAAGATTGAATATCTTATCAAGTTGTTAGAAGTGGGAGTTTAAGCCTCATTCACAAGCTTAAGCGCCCAGACAAGTCCAACTTAGGCCCATTCCAGTTTTCTACTGCAATACGAACTCTTGACCTATTTAAAACACCATTGGGGACCAAAAATACATAACTTTTACATTGCAAAACAACTTTTGGGTGCTTGGAGGCTGAAGGAACGCGGAGGAACATCAGATTCATGTTCGTGAGCGGCGGAGACGGATCAACGTCAAGTGTTCACTGGAGATATTGAAGATCCACCAATCACTTATGGAGTTTGGGGGAGCTTTTTCTATTTTCTTTTGTTCTTGATTTTGCCATGTCCGGCTAGTTCTTTAAGTAGTTAGGGTTAGATGGATTTTAGTCGATTTATTATGTTTTGAACAATTCGCTGTGTTAATTTTCCTTTATATCATGAATGAAGTTATCTATTTTTAATGCTTTATATAGGCTTGAATCTTATATAATGATCATCGGTGAATGCATGACAATAGGAATGTTGGTGTGTGATCCATATCTGATAACTTCATCGTAAACGTTATGATTCTAGGGATAGACACAGGGTTTGCGTAATCTTTAAGATTCTTGAATTTAATGCTTGCATGCTTGGGGAATAACCGGGGAACTAGGGTTCTTCCAATATTGTAAAGGTTTTAGGGTAACAAGGGATTGAGCTCTAATAACACGCGAAAGAATTGGTTAGATTGATATTAAGGACGGTTAACGTAAAGAAGGACTTCGAATCATAATAAGGAGATTAAAGGAAATCGAACCCCTAGCTACGTTTTTATTTTATTAGTTAAATCACATCTTTAATTTCTTGTCTTTAATTCTTGCAAGTAATTAGCTTAATATTTAATATTTTAATTTTGCAATTCAAATCCTGTTTCCAAATACACTTTCGATTGTCCAACTAAGTTTGCGATAGTGAATTAGTGCTTGAACCGTAATCCTCGTGGGAACGATCTCTTACTTAATCATATATTACTTGTACGATCGGTGCACTTACCGTGAGTAGCAACACCACTACAATATTTATCTTCAAAGCTTAGTAGATTTCTCAAGGATCTACTAGAGTATAAAGATCACTTATTAGTAATTTTGTTCCTTCAAGTAACACAATACAAGCTCTTCCAAAGCCTTTACTCAAGTTTGCAATACCAGAAATCGTACAAACAGTTGTCTTAGCCAATTGCAGTTGAGAATTTTTTTTTTTTTTAACTTTTCAGGATGGTGTGTGTCATTACATTGTCTCTCACAGGAGGAATCTTCATCATTAATCTTAGCATCAAACATATTTATTTGTATTTTCTTCAAAAGAAATAAATTAGATAAATAAGTATCATATTTATGCATAAATAAGTTTAAAAAAGGTTCGTTTATCTTATTTTATATGTAATATTCTAATCTTTTCTCTTTAATCTGATTTTATTTATTTTCTCTCTCTCTTCATCTTATAAAAGATTTTGGTATTTTTAATTCTGTGACATTTACATCATTTTACATGACATTTGATGTTCAAAGTAACCACCAGAGTATTGATGCATTAAAATGTAATCACCCTTCTATTTATATTTAGATTACTATATAAAAACATGGTTTGTATGAGAAAATTAACCATTAAAATTTGTAATATTCGCATATTTTCCCTTTGATCATTCTCTATATCTCTCTTTATTTTGTAACAGTTTTAGGTATTTCTAATTTTTTTGACATATACATCGTTGTGCATAACTTTTCTTATAATATTTTACAAACAAAAATCCATAAATATCTAAATAAATAAGGGTAATATTTTCAACTACAAAAAGATAAAAAATAATTTAAATCAACAATCACTAAATCTCTAGAAAAGTCAGCCTTATTCTTGCCCGTGAAGTTATTCCTTATAAATAAGTGAAGAAAACGAACAAGGCTAATACTTGGTTTCTAAGTTTCCGATATATATTATTTTATTCTTCCAGCAATGAGACGATGACGCGTCACTTAACATTGTTAGCTATGAATGCTTTTTCATTAGGCCGACCGACGTGTTCCCACCGACTTTTTGACCTGTATAGTTTTTTTTTAATAATTAATTATCAAATTGATCTTATTTATAAATTATTTTAAAAATTTAATTTTTCTAGAAAATATAACACTGATCTGTTCCAGTTTGACTGTTGATCATAAAGTCTACCTGAGTACCCCCTCTTTACTCGGGTATTTTTTAAAAATTTTATCCTACCCAGATAGGAAAGGGATACCCGGGTATATGTCATAAATCTGAAAAAAAATGTTTGAATTATTTACCTGGGTAAAGAGAGGGGTACCTCCCTCCCTACCTGGGTAAATAATTCAAATATTTTTTTTTCAGATTTATGACATATACCCGGGTATCCCCTTTCTATCTGGGTAGGGTAAAATTTTCAAAAAATACCCAGTAGGAAGGGGGCTACCCGGATAGACTTCATGGTCAATGATCAAATACGAGCAGATTGAAGTTATGTTTTCTGGAGAAGTTAAATTTTTGAAATAATTTATAAATAAAGTCAATTTGATAATTAATTATTAAAAAAAAATATAATGATAAAAAAAGAAAGACTGTTCCCACCCCACCAATGTTGTGTCGTACGTTATCCATGAAATTTCTTAGCTGCGAGCAAAGTTTATGTGCTCCGGGAACATAAATCATTCGGTGAGAGTGTAATTAGAGAAAGACAGAAAAGATTAAGTAGAGACGAGAGAGAAAAAAAAAATTTAATTCAGGTGTTAATTTTTTAGTGAAAGAATCATGATAGTTCTGGACCACGTTAAAAAAATTTCTTCGCTGCTCACTACTACTGACACAGTTTTCACAAATAAATATTTAAAGAATTTTATTACCGCGCCTGATCTTAAATACAGCTCAATAAATATATATTACATTTTATTAAATCATTTTCATCACTTAAACAAAAATGGATTTTGTTATCGAGTGTATCGTGGCATAACTATTAAAGAATAAACAAAAAACAAAATTATTGAATAAAAAAATTAATATCATAAAATTTTAAAAATATTTATTATTTTGTTATTTTTTTTAAGTTACTAGCAAGTAAAAATAATAAGGCATAAGATACTATGTATATCTCTTTTTATTCATACTTTACCAACTCATCTCTAATACCATTATATCATAATTTCAATTAATCTTTACCATTTATCTCAACTAACATTCACCATTTCTATCTCCTTCTAAAATTATGATATAATAATATTGAAAATGAATAGGTAGAATAAACATAAAAAAATAAAATACGTACAATATCATATCCCAAATAATAAATGTTATTTTTATGAGTTTTTTGGTATTCCTAATTTTGTGTGATATAAATTATATGAAAAAAATTCACTCTTTCTTTGATAGATTAATTGTTCGTATCTAAATTGACATATTTTTTTTTCGTTTTAAAAGCTTTCTTATTTAAAGTGTTATATATTCCTAATATAACACTTAATTAATCAGTGTATTTATTAAGTGGTTGTGGATGCCCAATAAGAGAAGGGAATATGGTTTTCTTAGCCACGAAGAACATTGGTTGATGCCCAATAAAATAAGTACATGATCATGTTTTTTTTTCAACACGAGAGGATCCATAACAAAGGTTGATGCTTTTTTTTGTTTTTGCCTAAAAACCCCCTATAAGTATCACCTGCTACCTAGTCTTGCAATTGTCCACGTTAAGTTAAAACTCTGTGTGCTTAGTGGTTACGCAGTGACAAAATATGGCAGAAGTTGCACATGATGTTCACTCTCTCCTCTCTTCTCCCGAAAGGGACTTTCTTCTTCGCAACAACGGCGATCAGGTACCATCACTTCACAACTCTTTTCTTCTTCTTCTTCTTTTTTCTTCTTTTTTCTTTAAGGATCTGTCATGGCTTTGATACTGATGTTTTGGTCAATGGCATCCTTAAAAGTTTTTGTAGTTTTTTGTTTTTTGTTAGATTTTGTTAAATTTGTATCTGATGTTGAGTTGTTGACTCTGCTTATGCTCTTTATGTTGATGTGATAATTGTAATTGCAATTAATTAGTTTATGTTCATGGCATATGTAATTAAGAGCTAATTTGGAGCCAGATAGGGTGCTGAGTTGAACAAATAGTGGTTTGGGTTAAATTGAGTCCTCTACTTTGTGGGAGTAGAAAGATGCGCTGGCAAATAGGGTGCTGACCTTGAAGTTTCAAATGCAAAAATTGAAAAAAAAAAAAATGAGGATTTTTTTTTAATGGAGTAGTAATTGGTTATTCGATTCTTGATCATAATTGAATGGAGAATCATATTTGTACTCATACTGGTGGAAAATTGTAGTGTGATTTCTTGTATTTTGAAATTCCCAGGTTAAAATTGACAGCTTGAAGGGAAAGAAACTTGGTTTATATTTTTCGGCATCATGGTGTGGTCCATGTCAAAGATTCACCCCTACTTTGGTGGAGGTGTACAATGAAATCTCTCCAAAAGGTGACTTTGAGGTCATTTTTGTCACGGCTGACGAAGATGATGAGTCCTTTAAGGCTTACTTTTCCAAGATGCCGTGGCTTGCTATCCCATTTGCTGATTCAGAGACACGCAGTCACCTTGATGAATTGTTTCATGTGAAGGGGATTCCCCATCTTGCATTAGTTGATGAAACTGGGAACGTTGTCACTGAAGATGGAGTTGAGGTAATCCGTGAATATGGCATCGAAGGATACCCCTTTACATCAGCAAGGATCCAAGAGTTGAAAGATCAAGAAGAAGAAGCTAGGAAGAACCAGTCCTTGAGATCTATCTTGGTCTCTCCTTCCCGTGACTTTGTGATATCATCTGGTGGAAAGAAAGTAAGTGACTAACTTCACTCTCTTTGTATGAGATAGCAGTTTCCTTTAGTTGATGTTTGGTTGTTTACCTCAAAACGTATTGTTCATTTCCGAATTTGAGTTTTCCTTTCATGTACACACAGATACTTGTCTCTGAGCTTGAGGGCAAGACAGTTGGTCTGTACTTCTGTTTGACTTCATACAAATCATGCAGTGACTTCACTCCCCAGCTTGTGGAGGTTTATGAAAAGCTGAAGGCAAAGGGGGAGAACTTTGAGGTTGTGTTGATATCCCTAGATGATGATGAAGAATCATTCAAGAAAGAATTAGAAAGTCTTCCATGGTTATCCGTGCCTTTCAAGGACAAGATCTGTGGGAAGCTGGTTCGGTACTTTGAGCTCTCAGCCCTTCCCACTGTAGTTATTATTGGGCCAGATGGGAAAACTCTTCATTCTAATGTTGCCGAGGCTATTGAGGAGCATGGGATTGCTGCATACCCTTTCACTCCTGAAAAGTTTGATGAACTCATTGAGATAGCAAAGGCCAAGGAGGAAGCTCAAACCCTTGAGTCAGTTTTGGTGTCTGGGGATAAAGATTTTGTAGTTGGGAAAGATGGGGTGAAGGTAAAACATTTTTATTATATAAATTAATAATATGTGCTGTTGACTGTATCTTCCCCCCTTCCTTGCCCTTCTTCCCTCATTGGTAGAATTCTACCCTCCCTCTTTCTCTCCTTTCCTTCTCTCTCTTTGCTGTGATATTAACAAGTTAGCATATATTCTGATTTCAGATTCCAGTGTCAGAATTAAAGGGGAAGAACATCCTCCTCTACTTCTCAGCCCACTGGTGTCCTCCATGCCGCGCATTCCTTCCTAAACTTATTGATGCATATCATAAGATTAAGGCAAAGGACAATGCATTTGAAGTCATTTTCATCTCAAGTGACAGGGATCAAGCCTCCTTTGATGAATTCTTTGCAGGAATGCCATGGTTGGCACTTCCCTTTGGGGACTCGAGGAAGGCATTCCTGAGTCGCAAATTCAAGGTATCTGGCATCCCCATGCTTGTGGCCATCGGATCAAGTGGCCGGACTGTCACAAAAGAAGCTCGAAATCTGGTTGCGCTTCATGGGGCAGAAGCTTATCCTTTCACTGAGGAGAGAATAAAAGAAATAGAGGCAGAATATGAAGAGATTGCAAAGGGGTGGCCTGAGAAGGTGACACATGAAACACATGAGCATGAGCTTGTGTTGACTCGCCGTAGAATTTTTAACTGTGATGGTTGTGATGAAGAGGGACATATATGGTCATACTACTGTGAAGAGTGTGACTTTGATCTCCATCCAAAATGTGCATTGGAGGTCAATGGAAGCAAAGATGACACAAAAGAAGAAGAGAAGCCCAAAGATGGATGGGTCTGTGATGGAGAAGTCTGCTCTAAAGCCTGAAATCTGGTTGTATTATTTTGGTGATTACTCTTTATTAATCAACTGAATTTGATGGCTGTTAAGACCTTTTCTAAAATGTCCTGAGTTATATGCAGAATAATTTGAATATTGGATATTGTGATGTGAATGATCTGTATTGTATGGTTTAATATTGTATCCTCTGTTGTGCATATGGGTTACTATGTCGAAAATTGTGGCTATACTCACTCCCCTTGCCATCCCGCATTCTTCATCTTTGATTGATATGAAACTCAAGGAGACATCAGATAAAACTCTGATTTTGTTCATATCTGTGAACCCTACCTGATGAGGACAAATAAACGAGACTTTTTAATACCATGGATGGCTTTGCCTTTTAGTGACAAGAAATTGCTCTGAGGTTAAGTCATGATGGCAAGAATTTTTTTTTTTTTTAACCAAAAAATATTAAAAATCTAAATTGCTTTTTATGATTAGTCTCGGGAGAAAATTCTTTTAATCCTAGTTTGTTCAATCCACACCATTCATTGTAGTTAAATATGATGGCTATGCATAAACAATGGTCTATAAACTCTTTTTTTCTTCTTCTTAATATAGAGTGGAAGAAAATGAAAACATGATTGGACGGAATGAAGTATTTTGAATTTTCCCTCACAATCAAGTGCTTAACGAGACTTGTTTCTGTGCATCATGAAAAAATCTTTTGCATGCGCGAGATTTGAACATGAAACCTCCATCACTAAGAGCCATACCGTCATCCATTTGTGCTAAACTAGTTATGGTTGTTGCAGTTGTCTTCATTTGTATTGTGTGGAAGTTTTATTATTACATTGTAATTGTTTGCGTTGTTGAATATTTCTTGCCATTACTGGAATGCTACTATATTTATTATTAATTGTTGTTGAGCCATTTGTTTGCATGGTTCACGCCTTAGGGCATAATCTAAAGTTGAGGCCTTAGATTGACTTTCACACATTCAAATCTTCCGTTGATTGTTGCCTAAGGTTCAAGCCTTAGGGACTTAAATCTTCCGTTGTTTGTTGCCTAAGGTTCAACCCTTAGGGACTGAGTTAGGATTTTGATTCCTAAGTCAGCTTTCACTTTTGGCAGGTTTAACCGATGTTTATATCTCACTTGTTTAGTAAAACCTGCAACTTTCATGGTTCTCAAAGAATAAAGTCATATCATTTGAAGAAGATAAGTTTCAATGAGATTTATTCACAAGGATTCATAATTCAAATCAGTTCAAAATAATTCATAATAACTTTGTAGATATCAACTGTAAAATTTTCTAACTTCATCAGCGTTCCAGGCGAGATTCATATCTTCACCTTTCATTATTCATGGATCCGTACTACTTACATGAATTTCACAGCAGAGACACAAGATTGAGACATGATTACGCCTGAGACATGATTCACGGACAGAGCACTTCTTTGTGTACTTTCAAGATATATAATGCATCTCGCATTATTTGAACACAACACTTTCACATGCATCAAATTATATATGTAGGCATGTGAAAAGTTTCACATAAAACGAGATGAAGTTGTAGCATGCAAAAGTTTGACCTAAAACGAGATGATGTGCTAATAACATGTAGTATAATTGCAAGAAAATAGAAGTAAAGAAATGAGTTATTTCCTGTATTTTTCAGCCATCTCGCTTGATGTGCACATAGTGATGGGAGTAGAATTTTATCTCTCCCCAAAAATGGTGCCAGTCCAACTCAAAGTGGGTTGGGCCTAATCACACATAGTTGATCAAGTGAGGATGTTGATGAAGAGAAGGAGAGATGTGTACATTGTTGTCGAGATGCTGGAGTGCTTGGCGGGATGTAGGACTGCTTTGTGAGATGGTTGGACGTAGGGGTGCTAAACAAATCAGGGCCTTTCAGGGGTCTTTGGTTCGGCTTGTGAATGCCTGAGCTTACATGTCTAAAATTGGTTGTTGGCATCAGGCTTGGACTTGTATAAAAGTTCGTTTAATAAAAAGGCCTCAGGCTCCAATTTAAATGCTCGGCCTTAAAGCCTCTCAGGCTGACCTAGTATATTATTTTTTATTATATTTTATATTTTTTATACTACTTGTAATAGTTCTCTTTTTCTCCTCAATCCATTTCACTCCATTTTATTGGTTAAACAAACTTTTTGAATGATTTTGTTTTATATTATGTTGTTTGGATATAAATTGAATTTATGAATATTCATGTAATTACTAGTTTTGTTGATTGTATATTCTGTTTGGATAAATTTTTGTTGTCTTATTTATTTTTTGTAAATAAGTCAGGCCACAGGCTGATAGTTATATTTATAACAGGTAACAGGCTTGATCAGGCTGACACATTTAAACACAGGCTTAGCCTTAACACCCCTAGTTGGACGACACTTTGCATATCTGAGTAGTTTGATAAGGACTACGGGGTACATGCAAAGGCCCTCCGAAGCTCAAGTCAGTTTAGTATTCAAGAAAGTTCAAGTATTCAAAGAGATACATCATACCTGAGCTATAAGCCTCTGTATCTATAGTGCTTGAGCGCCTTTGTTTCTCACTGTCTTTTATAAGACGATGTTCACATTTATTGGTGGAGAGTTGTGGTCTCTCTTAGGCTATTCCTTGGTGCGCAAGCCTATATTTAGTAGTAGATTAAGTAGGTACTAGAGCTGCCATCTTTTTACTGGTTCCTGATAGTGGCCAACTTGCCTAAGTCGTTGCTCTCAGCAATGATGGTTCCTTTCAGGCTAAGTCACGTTTGCTTATTGACCAAGTCTGAAACAAGATCCATGCTTCCGGTGCGAGATGGATTGCCTTTGTGGCTATGTCCCAAGGATTCTTTGGGCCTTTTGGGCCTTCTGCAATTGGGTCTCTATTTCACATGTAATAGGTCCAGATCAACTTCCAATTAGGATTATCTACCTTTAAATTTGTTTAATTCGGAGTATTTCAATAATCCTTTTCAAATATGAATTTTTTTTCTTCAAAATTTTTGTCAAATCTTGTGTTTGTTTAATTCAGCATACAACCATAAAAAATATAGTAAAATCTGAAACATCATTTTTCATAGGCTCTTTGCGAGATTATTCAATTTGTTGCTAAAATCTATGATAGTCTTGTCAATGAAGCAAATAATGTGAATGAGACGTACTTACACAAAGTGTAGAGAAAGTTGAGGATGAGGAAGATGAGCTTAGCTCGTACCACAATGATATGAGCTTAATCTTTTGGATTGAATTTGTTATATAAATAGGTTATGAATAAGAAGTTGGAAGAGTCATGTTTCTTCGTTTCCGAAAATTCGTGTCACTTCATTTGCGAAAAGTCGCACCTCTTCGTATCCGAACAGTCGCGCCTTTTCGCAATCGAACAGTCACGTCTCTTCGTTTCCGAATAGTTATGCCTTTTCGTCTCCTGACCATTCATCTCCTATATATACCTATGCCTAGTGAATTCAAAAAATAGTTTTTTGACTCTTTTCAAAAACTCTGCCAGTTGTGTCTGTAGGTGTTGTTTCTTCCAGTAGTGCCACCGTCAAAATATAGATAGCTCGTTCTATTCTGGTAGGCATTTGTCCACGAACCTTAGGCACCGTTGAGGGGGAAAAATTGCCTTAAGGACACATAGTATATAATAATGGGCTCGGGTTTAATTTTCTGCAATTTTTTCTACCTTATATATTTCTTTCTAGTTTCCTATGATGACATTTTATTCTATGTGTGATTGTTTTTCCACTGTTATCCCATAATACAAATTTTTTACACTACCACCCATAACATAATTTGCACTTTACATTGTATCAGAGCCTACGTGGTTGAGTGATTACAAGTTCGATCCTCACCACCTCCATTCTATTAATAAAAAAATTAAATATTATGAAATTTCTTAGTACAAGTAAACTGAATAAGAGCTTTAAAACACCTTAAAAGTCCAATTATCATACTTGTATGAACATGAAAGTAAATTATCTAACATTTGGTACTTCAGACATCAATGTCACTTCCTCAACATAGTGATAAAAGGGTGACTTATATAAGTTTCGTAAATAACTATCTTAAATTATAACTTTGGGAGTTTACAATATTAATTTTACATTTTTTTTGCGCCTAACACGATTTGACTATAAAACTTTCGTTATGGTAGGATTATATAAGGGCTAAAAAATATAAAATTTGTAATTTAAATAATAAATTATAAAATTAATATTATTTTCAAATATTTTACTCAACTAATACTACCAGTTGCGCCCAAACTAATGCACAATTTTTAGTTGTGCATCAAATTGGATGCAATTCACCGGAGCTTGCCATATGGCACTAAGGGCACCCTTAATGAGACGTGACAAGTTTTGATGAGTTGTACCCAATTTGATGTGCAACTTGTCAAAGCTTATCACGCGTAAAATATTTGAAAATATTATTGATTCTATAATTTATTATTTAAATTGTATACGTATAGAATCTTATTTTACATAAATTGAATATTAATTTGTGCATCACATTATGGGAACACCAAACTTCTACACCAATGGAAAGGGTTTTATATGATACACTTAAAAGTTGGCTGATTATACATGGCTCAACTAATTAATGGATTGATTTAAGAAATTTGGAGTTAAACATAATTATGGTCACTAAACATAATTACGTGTCTAAAAATTTTCTCATGACTCTAATTGAAAACTTAATATTTCTCTTTTACGTGTCTCAATTTTCTACTGAGCTGGCTTTTCTATTTACTTTGACTATGACTATCACTTTTGAGCAATAATTACGACCCACGCTTCAACCAAGCATGAGACGAAACCAAACCAGTGATTTACGAACACGTACTCACTTGGATAACAGTCAAATAAAGCACACACCGTCCAATGTGGAAACTTTTGTTTCGGGGAATAAATCTTTGGTGGTACTGTTGCACCTAAATTCAGTGCATCCCATCATTATATTGGAGGAGAGAAAAAAAATTTGATATAAAAAATAGAATTTTGACTGACATATAATATTTTCATTGATAAGATATATTGAACCTTTGGTACAACAGTATCACGAAAGATTCATTTGTTTGGGGTCCTAAACCTTTTTTCAGACAACCTTGAACATGCGTTGCACGTGCTCCTCTTACTTATCCTCTTCTTCCATTCTCCATACTTTTCAAAAATAAACAGAGAAAAAAAAAAGACTATTTAACGAAATAAAGCCTTTTCCTTTTCCAAGTTCCAAGCAAAGATCTGGGCTTGGCTCATAGGAATATACCATTGGGTGATCGTAGTTCTTACCCTGTAAGTTCACTTTGAATCTCCTCTACAGAATCAGCTTTATTCATTTCAATTTCATTACTTCACCTATCTCTTTGCTCTGCTTTTGTTTTGTTTTTTCATTGTGTTTTCTGATGGTTCATGCTTGTTCAAAATCTGGGTTGAACTTATTGTCTTGAGTTTTCTGCAGAATGTAATGCATGGTGTGCATTGGTGCTTGTGGCAATTTGTATTTAGTGTTAGCTCCTTCAATTTGGGAACTTTATGATACAACCTTATATGTTTGAATAGACTTAAAATGGCCTTAAGAAAATAAATAGTTTTGTATTCACATTATGAGTTAGATTTACCAATTTTAGAAATGTTCCAGGTTCTTATGATGGGTGAGTCAGAGGTGACAAAATTCAGCTTAAATGTCAGGAAGAATGAAAAAGATGGGTTCTCAAGGGGACTGAAACCTGAAATATCTAAATTTTTTGGGCAACTCCCTCACAAGCTTCAGAATGTTCTTAAGGTCAATCACTTATCCTGTAGCTTAAAATTTATTAGGAACCTGGATTTGCTCTTAACTGATTATTCTTCTGACTACAGTCACAGCTGAGCAGATTAGCAAAAAATGATGGAATGAATTTGGTGAGATCTCTCCAGAGAAATGTGAATAGGTCTTTTAGTGCCTCTGAAGCTGAACTGAATGAGCAACTACAAACTTGGAGAGAAAATCCTTCTTGGGTTGATAAGCCACCACAAGTAAAGGTGAGGAGCAGTTAAATGGGAAAGTGTGATTTTCTATGGAAAATGTTGGTTTCTTCATAAAACAAATGATAAATGGATTTTATTTCACACTGTAGGTAGAATAGCTTGCCTCCAAGACTGTATTTCTAACCTGTTGATCTAGGCTTGTTGAGATACTTCTAAAATTTTATAAATTAAGTATCTAATAAGGTTTTGATAAAAACCTTGGGATGTATCACTCCAAAAGTTAGCTCAAAAGGTGGGAGTGCCCAAAGTCTTATAAAGACCATATTAGTTGCCCATACAACCAATGTAGGACTTCAAATCTCATACCTTGCAAATGGGTCCTAACATTCCACTACGCTCCGCAGTTCCGGCGCTCACACGGGCTAGTTATGTGCTAGTCTTTTTACTAGCTCCGGGCGAACACTGCAATGCCGGCGTCTCCGCCCGCGCTGCTCGATTGCAACCAAGAGACGTAGTGGAAGGCTTCGATACCATTTGATAAGAACCATGGGATGCATCACCCCAAAAGCTAGCTCAAAGGGTGAGAGTGCCCAAGGCCTTATAAACCCACATTAGTTGCCCATACAACCAATGTGGGACTTCAAGTCCCATACCCATACCTTGCAAATGGGTCCTAACAGGTTACTTCAGTTCTATTAAGATATAAAAATACTTTCTAGTTAACCCCAAGGGATGGCACAGTTGGTAAGTAGGCCATGTCCAAGGAGCAAACTGTTGTGGCTGAAAGGTCACTAGTTCGATTCCTAGATGAAGCACCTTGGAGCCAATTGTAAAAACCTTCTCGCTCACCCCATGAAGGGGATTAATCTCATCCAAATGGGTAGGGACACCCTTGGAAAACCAAAAAAAAGAATACTTTCTAGTTAACTTCTATATACCTTCAAGATGGATGCTTAGTTTGTGGAAGAAATCTGGTGGATAATTCTAATCTATAAACTGTTTGACCGAACAAGGCAAACTGGTAACACATTTAGGCTAGTAAGATCCTAATTGATGTAAAAACCCAGTCTGTGAGACTTAATGAATCTAAGGAATAAAAATAATTAAGAAAATATCTATGTTTGTCTATGCCCCGGTATATATATGTAATATAATGCTCGTTTTGGCAGGTGACTGTTCCAAAAGGCACTCTTTGCAACCTCAATGTAGAAGTTGATGTTGGGCTGCCCCCTGATGCAGTATATAATATAGTGACAGATCCTGACAATAGGAGAGTTTTCAAAAATATCAAAGTATGTGATTTCAATCATCCATAATTCTGCTCACAGTGTGTTTGGTTACAACCTTCCTCGAAAAAAGTACATTAAAAAACATTCAAGTTTGCCATGGATGAAACACTCTGTTTCTTCATGAATCTAAATTTTCTTAAACTTCTAGCTTGTATAATTTGTCAACTACATTGTTCTAGCCATCTCATCAAAGTTCTGCAATTCAATTTCGCGATGTCTTTCTTGGTCAGGAAGTGATATCCAGAAAAGTCTTGGTTGATGAAGGTCATAGGCAAGTGGTTGATCTTGAGCAAGCAGCCATTTGGAGATTTCTTTGGTGGTCCGGGACTATTTCGATTAATGTTTTGGTAGATCAAAACAGAAAAGACTACTCTGTAAGGATCTGTCCTTTTAGATAATAGATGGATTCCATATTTGTTGCACATAATTATTTGAGGCATATAGAAACTTAACATAGTTAAACAACTATTATCTTTGCTCCAAGACTATCTTCTTTAACTGCAAATCTCTTTTGCTAGGGTGTTAGGTGGAAATTGAACTTTGGTAGAAGACAGCCTTAGGGGTTTCTGAAAAAGTACCACCCTCGTAGCATTTGGTCTCCCACTCTCTTGCATTAAATTAGAACTGTTAAATACAAATAGGATCAATGGCTAAGATTAAGAGTGTAGCTTAACACGGGTGTATAATAATGCTCCCCCTCCTCACAAATATCACCCACCTATCTAGAAATATGCCTAGAAATCTAGAATGTTATATATATATATATAAAAGGATTTATTATTCTTATGTTACATAACAAAGAATTTATCTCCTACACACAAATTCAAGATGGGTTCCACTCTATTTTTTTTTTCTCTCTCCCTAAAGTGGACCTCATCTGCACAAATGAGTCTATAGGAGATAGTAATTATCTTTTAGTACATGAGAAAACTATTACCCATATATGTATGTATCCTTTGTAGACATAAAGGTTGCTAGTGTCTTGACAGAATACTGTGAGTGAACTCTGACAAAAAAGGATGTATATATTACATACTGATATATAATTTTGTATCAGATGAAATTCAAGCAAACCAAGACCGGATTCATGGAAAAATTTGAGGGCTGCTGGAAGGTAGAGCCTTTATTTGTTGATGAAGCAACATGCTTTCCCTTTAAACCCATGACAAAGGAAGATTATAATGCATGTACAAGAGGGAAAGGAAGAATTGGGTCTAAAGTGAGCCTGCAACAAATACTACAACCAGCGATTGTCCCTCCCCCTCCCATATCATGGTATTTGAGGGGAATCACCAGCAAAACAACTGAGATGCTTATAACTGATCTGCTTGCAGAAACTGCCAGAATCAGAGAAGGATATGAGGCTGAAAAGTCTAAGGGAGAGCTTCAAGGAAATCCTGGTAAAAATGTGGACCTGGTTGCTAAAACAAGTAACATTAAAGAAAGATGGATTTTACGTAGAAAAAATGCAAAGCAGGGTCATAGAAGATTGCTGACTGCTAAATGATTTTCCTATGTTTATATTCTATTTTCAATTTAAGTAATCTATCTAGATTGCTCCATAGTAGTTCAGTTTACTTTGAAGGATTCTAATGTATGCATCTTATTACATAATGTCAGGATCAATTATTTTCAGCTTGTTGCATTACATTCCAGTTACATAATATTTTCTGCAGATGACTGATATTTATGACTATAGTTGGCAAAACGGGCCAACCCGGCTCGACTCGGCCCAACCCGCATTCAACCCGTAAAAAACGGGTCGGGTTAGGGTTGACCCGAAAATTAAACGAGCCAGAAAACCCAACCCAGCCCGACCTGAGCTGGGTTAGGGTTGACTCGATAATCAGCTCGCGGGTTGGCTCGGAAAAAAGCTCGCGGGTTGCATTTGTCACTTTCCTGTATGACCCTGCAATGTTCTACAGCAAACCAGATCCGTGGGTCCAAAGGTCACAGTGTACCCAGCAACTGAAAAATTCCCATAAAAAAAATGAGTTCAGATAAATATAAAACGAACTATTACCACAAAGTTACAAGTTCTACATCAAAATCGAATATATTCCAAGAGAAATGAAAACTTTTACCATCTGTATCAAGCAAAGAAAGACGTTTCTGCTTTTACTATCCAAGGACGATGATGTGAGCAAGCTTTGGAGTTTTCATATATATATATATATATATATATATATATATATATATATATATATATATATTTAATACAGTCATTTTTTTTTAATAATAAAAAAAAAATACCCAACCCGCGAGCTGGCCCGTTTAACCCGCGGGCTGACTTGTTTGGGTCTGAGTTGTATCGAATCGGGTTGGCAGCTCATTTAGGTCAACCCAACCCGACTCATTTAGGATAGGTTGACTCGTTTTTGCTATCCCTATTTATGACCATGAGATATCTGATTTTTGATTTTCAGAAGACTGCACTAAACTATAATAGTAGTTTTTAAAAAAAAATATTCAATACATTAATCAATATCATCTTTATCTTAAACTAATTGGTTAGACCTTGGTTAATCCGTATTAAAAATAGAAAAAAAAAATTGGAAGAAAAAATAAATAAGATAAAAGTAAACAAGATAAAAATAAATAAATATTTAATGGATTAATGAAGGCTTAAAATTAAATCCTTATCAAAGGATAAAGAGAACCAAAGAACCGGGGGTATCTCATTAAATGAGGAAGAAGATTACAGTTTATGTATTCATACAAATCACTAGCTGTGTTATACAACACAATGCATCAAGTGAAAGAGTTAAACAATGACATTCACTTCGGAGTTGACATTCTAATTTTATGATTTCCTTTAATTCTAAGTCAATCACTTATTATAATTACTACTTTCGACCATTTTACAGAATCAAACTATAGAAGTTCTATCTACAAGTCATGCAAGCAACGAAGGATTGCTTCATCTAAGCAGCATAGACACTGCACTCTATACTTTCATCTCCATTTAATTCCCCATCTAGTGGACCATGTATTTTATCCAAAGCAAAGGATAACTTGTTTGGAGTTCGTTGCACCACTTGATTGACCAATAATTCCTTGAGGCCATGTTTATCAGAACTCATAAAGGCACCCATAGCTCCAAGAAACCCTTCATGCCGCAAAAACATTGCTTTGGCCTCACCTTTAGACCTGAAAAAGATAAACATAAGATTAAACACTTGTTTTTCTAATAATTATGCCAGAAGCAAGTAGGCTCAGAAGTCTATTCAAACTATCCATCCATTGTAGCAACGATGAGCACAACAATGACTGTGTTTTATATCCCAACACAAATCTTAATTATAGCATGCAAATGTAAATCCAGACTTCCTGAAACCCCAACCCCCTCCATGCCACCCCTTAGAAATCAGGAGTTATCATTGTATGAAGTTAACAAATTAATATTGCATTCAGGGTTATTGGAACGGGACCGAACTAGCCGATTGAACCGATTAAATTGGTAACCAGATCATCAACCAGCCAGTCTGGCCAAGGGATTGGTTAAGTAATCGAATCAGCATCAGATTGGTGAACCGGCTATAAATCAGATCCAACTGGTATTGAACCAGCCTAGGTTTACTATTTGAGCCGGTTTTCAGAATTTTTCGTAAAATATTTCAAGAGTTCCATACTTGAGGATTGAACCTTGCACATGGTACCACACATACAGCTTTGCCTGAGTGACATGTGTGATTCATCATACTATTATTATATTTATTGCATATATAGAAATGCTGTGCAAAATATTTGAAGTTTTCAATCACTAGGGATCAAATTTGAGACATTAGTATGGATACAAAATTACAAATAGCTTAAACTACTAAGCTAGTGCAATCTTTTGGTTATATTTCTTCTTTTATTATAATCTTTTATACAAATCCAGTTCAAGTGGTGCAATCCGTGATCCACTGGTTGAACCAAAGACTCATTGACCGAGTGCCTAGATCGAGTCGATGACTGATCCAAGTTTAATAACACTGGTTGCATGTCCAGAAAATTATGCCAACATAGATAAATACTAGCTTTTATTGATGAAATAATACAGAAAATACTTGTTTTCTACATGAAATGCAGGAAATCATCTTCTCTTTGATCATTCTAAATATTATGTTAGTAACTAGAATTTCTTTGGCGCTATAGCACCCAAAGCTTATGTGATTGTTTTAAGAGATGGATTTTAGTCTGAGACAGCAACTATTTCATATGACCATGATTAGTTATGTTATAAAGCACCAATTTGGCAGTGGGGAGGAGGAACTTCCTTCTGACATACCAGAAATTAACAGCAACAGATAATGTGTCCATCGTAAAAGGATGCCTCCGAATAAAAAATCCACCAAAAAAAATCCTCTTCAGCCCAAATCGAAGGGCATTTAAGTAAGAGATCTGAAAGAAAACAAATAAGAGCCCAAATACATTTCACTTCTGAACATGAGATAAATCCTGCATGAACCTGTGCTAAAAGGCTGGGAACCGGGAAAACAAAGATAAAATTAACACACACACAGATGTATATGGGTTAAGATCCATTGACACTTCTGAAAATCAAAATCGATGTTACATCTATAAACAACTTCTTATAAAATGAATATTTCAATATATCCACCGTTGTATTGAAAGTTTGCATTATGCAAAGGGTAAAGAATTGTCGGAAAAGAGAGGTTAGAAACTGCTCTGAAACTAACTTGAAACCATTATTGCTGAATTGTGTTATAAGACAACGAAAATTCGCACCTATTTATACTACTAATCTAGGTCAAGTAGTCAAGCCCATTCCAGTAACACTCACGAATATAATAAGACTAATATCTAACCATGCTTATTATGTTTGTAAATGTTCATATCCACAATTATCTTTAACTCCATCGATATATCTTGAAATCAAGGTAAAATATGCTTTTCAAACAAAAAACAACATCAGCTAACGAAGCATTTATGGTTATTATTGGTTAAGATAAGATGCCAATTTTATATATACACCAAGCGTGATTAATTGACTGATGTAATTTTTGACAGACCCCACCTAATAACGTTTTACAATTTTTTTTTTATCCGACCACTGAATTATAAATATATATCAATGTAGATCTTGCATGTCAAATTTCGAATTTAGAAAAGGACAATAATTAGTATGTAACGAAATAGTTCATATTTTCTTATATTTAGAAAGTATATATTATGTTAATCTTATATCAATGGAATATAAACAAAATTTGGATCAATTAGATCCAAACAACTTCTATAAATCCTTGTAAAAGACAAAATTATGAACTATTTAATTTTTTTAACTACTTGGCCTTACTAAATTATGTAATGCTTTGTCACTTAAAAGTAGAATTTTTCCCTTTGTGTATAACCACACACACACAAAAAGAAAAAAAAAAAAGGAAAGATTTTTAATTTGCCCACCAAATGTCAATTCAATGCAAAGTGACACTTTGGGCTATGATATGAATATCTTATAGAGAATATTTGTTAACATATTTATCAAGATTATAAACAAGACTCCATTATGCATTATGCATATATACATGCATATGATGATGCAGTGCAAAGTAGTGTTCATCTAACTACAAATCTATAGTGCTCAACTGACCTGTCCAATATTATTTGAGATCATTCTTAGAAGAGATCGAGCAATATCTTCAGGTTTGTAATCTTTACAGTCCTTATTGTCAGACATTGCCCTTCCAAAACTAGAGGCTATTGCAGTTGATGAAAGACCTATCTGGTATCAATAAAAGAAAAATATATTCCCGCGAACAATCACTAGGTAATATTTTTCTCTATTTGAAACAATCATAATTAACAAAAACTCTTCTAAGAATGGTACACAAGAATGATTGTCTTATCATTTTAAACACGAAAAAGGACATAAACTTTCACCAGTAATACCTTTGAATAGTCCATTCCACCATAAATATCTCCAACAAGCATATCTACTGCTCTGTTGTTCCCCCGATAACTTAATTCCAGCAACTCATCAAAACTGAAGCAGTAGGTACATTAATGGTAACTCTATGAGTCTATAATACTATAATATAGAACAGTAATGAATTTTCCCAAAAAGTAAATTACCTCTTGCACTTAGTTAAAAGCTTTCCTAAACCCCAGAAAGTGCCTCCACCTATACTTGTTCCACTAACTCGTTCAAACTTTCCATCTCCTTCCACCTATATGACAACATTAAAGGATTATTTGAAGTGCTTAAAAAAGATTAAATATCTGGAAATTGGAAGAATATAGCAACTAATGTAACTTGTATGATAACTACCTTGATCATGCTAACTCCAGACCCAATATTAACAAGAAGATAGGGATACAGTTCATTCTGGTCAATCTGCACAAATTGCTTTTGATCACCCATATAGGTAAATGCTTCCTGGGGGACCACCTATCCAAAGAAGATTGAGACAGAGCTGAGATCTTCTATTTAGAAATTCTCAAGGTGTATGAGAACAAAACCCAACAACTAGTTTATAGCAAAATGAAAGGACAGTGTAAGAGCAAAGCCCCTCCAAAAACCATAAGGACAACATAAAGGAATTCTTTTAGTATTTCCTTACAATCACTGATAATGAAGGGCATATCAGAATACCACATTCCTAGACTCCAAAAAAGTCAATTAAGGATTCTCATATACCGGTGATAACATGAAAAAAAAATTAATTTAACTTCAAATGGAAAATTATATTGAAATACAAAATTTCAGTTAATATGGAACTAAAGGGAAGTAGGAGCCAAGTTATGAGTTTGAGTAACAGAGCAGTCCTCAACTGAAACTTTTGGCTTCATTTCGGAGGGGAATAGACATTCAAAGCAGACAATTAATTTACCCCACACTTTCTGCATTAAAATAAAAAGTTTTAAAATTCTATAAACACTAATATTATATTTGTCAATAACAAATAACCCCTATTGTTTCTTTCAGAATGTCTAGATGATATCATATAATATTAAGATTATATTTTTAAATAGTTTAGAGTATCCTAAAGGATCTATTAGGAAAGCATTCCATATTTTCTTATATTTCATGATTTTTTTCCTTATTTTAGGAGCCTACTATTAGTATATATATGAGTTATAACTTTTACTTTTATATCACATCATAACAAATCAAATCAATACTAACTTCATATTATTCAGCCTTTATTATCTTCTTTTCTTCCTTCCCTACCTAAATCCCTAGAATTTGAACATGGTATCAGAGCAGTACCACCCTCGATTACCTATCCCGTCACTATTATGTTACCAAGTTTCCTAAAGTCCGGAGCTCTACTTTATTTTCATGATTATCTGTCAACTTTTTCAGTATTGTGTGTCCTTTTGGTTGTCTCACAAGTCTTCTCTGAATCTCTGACCACCTCCATCGTTATCTACCGCCACTCTCGCCACCTCTGCTGCCGGCAGACTAGTTTTCCAGCTGATGACCCAGCCATATGGTTCGTCTCCTCCATTCTGGCAGTACCCATGTTAGACTCACGGCTTAACTCCGCTGCACATTCTCCCATGCTCTCCATCTCTCCTGCATGTGTTTTTCACCCAGCCGTCCATTATATCACGCATGGCGGCGCTTGGAGCTTTGTTTCCAGTCGGCCACCTTCTGTTTAGCTCCGTTGTCCAGGTCTGCCCCCAAATCTGCCCCGATCTGTGCTAGCTGTGCCCTTTGAAGTGCTCCCATCTCTGTCCTGCAATATTCACTACATTGTTTATGGTGTTCTTCGAGTGGTTTGTTGTGTTGTGGTGGTTCACTACTAAATTGTGTCTTAGTGTTTGTTCTTTGCTGTTGTATATTGGTTTGCCACTACTGATTTGTGTGTCATCGTCATCATTGGTGGTTGTTGTCTGTTATGTAGAATGTGCTTTGGGTGTTGAATCTTGAATGTCGCAACCAACAACGCTAGTTGTTGACATAATCTTGCTAAGTCGACATTAGATGCATAAGTTTTTTAAAGTAGCAACATATGCTCTTAATTTTGATTCGTGCTGCACATGGTCTTCTGTTTCAAGCCACACCATATCCCTTCGTGCTCTTCATCCAATCTCTCTCTTCTTTTTTGGATAAACCACAAGTATCCTCCAGGGGAAGTAATCCTGCTCAAGCCGGGAACATCCACATCATGGTGGAGCTAGCTCTTCCAAAGGGAATTTTTTGCATTTGCAAGGACTTGAACTCAAGACCTTGCTTAAGCGGAATCAAGCATGTACCACTTCATCCAGTCTCTATCTATGGTGTTGCTGTCATTGCATCTATTCCAATGCCAATATAATGTTGAGGAGAAATGGAAGATGCAGTCTGACCCCATCAGTCCTTGTCCTAGATGAAGCTTGGCCCGTCAAACTTTGACCCAGTTGCAGCCTGAACCCATCGGACTTTGTGCCAACTAGAATCTGGCCTGACCATTCCTTGTCCCAAATAAAACGTCGCCCTATCGAATTTTGTCACAGTTGCAGTCTGACCCTAGTCTTTCTCTCTGATTATATTGTTGGTTATTTTTCATTTTTAAGGAGTCATTTGTAACAAGCTTAAAGCTTAGTGGCTAGAGGAGGAGTGTCAGAATACCTAGTAGGTGTATAATATTACGATTATAACCTAAAATAGTTTAGAGTATCCTAAAAAATCTCTTAGATTGGTTCCATATTTCATTATTTGTTTCTTTATTTAGGAGTATACCATTAGTATAAATAGGAGCTATTACTTTACTTTTTATATCACATCATAACAAATCAAATCAATACCAATTTCATATTGTTCAGACTCTATTATCTTCTTTTATTCCTTCCCAACCTAAATCCCTATAATTTCAACATTTTCTATACTAATAGCTCCAAAGTTTAAGTAACAATCCAATTTGCACTTTGGATTGCAAGCGAATAGCCAATCAAAAAAATCATTTCTCAAAATCTCAATAATTATACAATATCAGTTATAGAGTAGGCCCACTTACAAAGGCAGCTCACACAATAGAGGAAATCAAAAGGTCATTACTCTGATCAGATATGCTATCTTTTTCCCCATGAGAAAACAGAATTGATAAAATAAAACAACTAAACAAGGCATCTTTCAAACTACAACTATGTGCCTAGTTAGCTTCACATTTAGCCAATGACAACGATAAGAGGTAAAAAATAGACACTTAAGTTAACACTAAGTGCTGTGAAATTCACAAGAGAGCAGTGATTTTATATTTTATATTTCTCAGCCACACTAAAAGCATTGCTAGCTGAAGGCACATTAATGATTTTATATTTTATATTTCTCTAACACACCCCCTCACCATGATCCCACTAGGCTTAAAAGGTGAACAATGTCTAAGCCCACCTACCTATGGTAAAAAGCTCCACGATATGTAATTATTTATTAACAGAATGAGAGCAGTGAAGATCGAATTTCAGACCACTTGGTCATAGAGGCTCTGATACCATGTAAATAACTATTTTAATCAAAAGCTTAAGTTGTTAGGTGAATACACATTAATGGTTTTATATTTTATATTATATTTCTCTAATAGTGACTGTTAGAATATATTAAATATGATTAGATATGATTAGTCTGTAATTATTATGATTAGATATGATTAGTCTGTAATTAATTCTGATTGTATTAGGTTTGTATTAGGTCTGGGCCTTTCACTTAAGCCCATTAGAGTCTCTATATATTGTAACCCTCTAAATTAGATCAATACACAACATATTATTTTATATTCAAGTTGGTATCAGAGCTCTTTTGTTCTGAGGACCCTCGCTTTCGCTTAGAAACCTTGTTTTTTGCTTTAAAACCTAAGCCCACTGCTTAGGAGTCCTCTTTCTTTGCAGTGCGTCCTTCCGGCAAGCCATCTAGGGCTGTAAACAGCTTCTGAGTAATTTTCCAAACGCGTTAGCACCGTCGACGGCCACCGGAACCACCGTCCGCCACTAGGACCACTGTTCAAGCCACCGGAGACGTTTTTCCGGCAACTTTTCAGACCAGACGTCACGCGATCAGGACCGTCTCCTCCCGGCGATCAAGTCTGTGGAGGTCCGGTCACCAACGCATCCCTCACGCGCCGCCCACCTCCTCTGCGCATGGGCCTCGCGCGCCACCTTCTACCGGCGCGTGTGCACTACTCCGGCGGATTTTTCGCCGGTCTTGGACAGAGAAGCTCGCCTTCTCCTCCCCTTTCTGGATCTGTGATTGTTTCTTTGTGGGTCCGACCTTAGACACGTGGTTCTCCTTGATTGGATATCGTTTGCCTTCGTTTACGGCTTTTATATTTTATCTTTAAATGGCAGCAGCATCTCGTGATCTCTCGGAGGTTAACTCTCCTTTTATTGTTGCAAATATAGTTCAGTCAGACAATGCATCATTTGGTTCAGGTTCGGACTATGCTGCACTCCAAACCCCTCTCAGGAAGGCTTCTCCTCAGTCTCAGCCTTATACTGGTAATCCCGTTGCTTGTGTTTCTCATTCTACATCACTTGGCACTTGGATATTTGACTCCGGTGCTACCGATCATCTCTGTGGTAATAAGGAACTCTTTACATCTCTTACTTATTCTGATCATTTACCGTCTTTTACCCTTGCGGATGGAACCAAAGCCCCAGTTCGTGGGATTGGACAAGCTCGTCCGACCTCTACCTTGGCCCTGACATTTGTCTATTACATTCCTGGCATCCCTTATAACTTAATTTCTATTAGTAAGTTGATCCACTCCCTCACTTGCACCATTACTTTCTCTAACCATTCTGTTTCTGTGCAGGATCCGGGTACGGGGAAAATGATTGGAGTGGGTCGTGAGTCACGGGGCTTTATTATCTGGATGTGCCTCGTCCTTCAGTAGCATGCTCTCTCACAGAATCTCCACAACTTATCCACAGTCGCCTTGGTCATCCAAGTCTTTCAAAGTTGCAGAAAATGGTTCCTCTTTTGTCCGGTCTTCAGTCTTTAGATTGTGTGTCATGTCAACAAGGGAAGCATACACGCTCCTCTTTTGCCAGTCGAGTCGATAAAAGAGCTGATGCCCCTTTCTCTCTTGTTCATTCAGATATCTGGGGTCCAAGTCGTACCTTGTCTGTCTTAGGTTTTCGGTATTTCGTTACCTTTATTGATGATTTTTCCCGTTGCACTTGGACCTATTTAATGAAAAATCGTTCTGAGTTATTTTCCATTTATAAAAAGTTTTCTACTGAGATCCATACTAAATTTGGTGTTTCTATTCGTATTCTACGTAGTGATAATGCTAAGGAATATGTTTCTATTGATTTTTCTAATTTCTTGGTCACACAAGGTACTTTACATCAAACTACTTGTCCTCACACTCCACAACAAAATGGGGTGGCTGAACGTAAAAACAGACATCTCATTGAAACTGCCCGTACCCTTCTTATTCATATGCAGGTTCCCCTTCACTTCTGGGCAGATGCTGTCCTCATCTCTTGTTTTCTCATCAATCGCATGCCTTCGTCTGTGCTCCACAATGACATTCCTCATAATCTATTGCTTCCAGATGTTCCTCTTTATCCTCTAACTCCACATGTCTTTGGTTGTACTTGTTTTGTTCATGATCTCACTCCTGGTAAGGATAAGTTAACATCCAAAGCCTTTCAGTGTATCTTTCTTGGTTATTCTCGTCTTCAAAAGGGTTATCGTTGTTATTCTCCCGACCTTAAGCGTTACTTAGTTTCCGCTGATGTCACTTTTCTTGATCAACAACCCTTTAATTCTATCCCATCTCAGATGTCACAGGTTGATCATGTACTTCCTGTCCCTTTTCTTGACTTGTCTTTGCCAGCTGCAGGTGCTTCTATTCCAGATGAGCAACCTATTGCTTCTATACCTGAGGACCGTCCACTTCTCACCTATCAGCGTCGCAAAACTGTGCCTCTTGTCGACTCGACTCTTGCTGACTCATCGCCCACTGTTGTTGCTTCTTCCCCTCCGGATCCTTCATCAGAGACTCTTCCCATTGCTCAAAGAAAAGGTACACGTACTACTCGTAACCCTTATCCTCTTTATACATTTTTGAGTTATGACCGTCTTTCTTCACCTCATTTCACCTTTGTTTCTAGTGTTTCTTCTATTTCTATTCCTAAGACCACAAGTGAAGCACTTTCCCATCCAGGGTGGCGCCAAGCAATGCTTGATGAGATGACTGCACTTCATTCCAATGGCACTTGGGACCTTGTTTCTGCTCCTCCAGAGAAGTCTATAGTTGGTTGTCGCTGGGTTTTTACTGTGAAAGTTGGACCTGATGGCCATATTGATCGTCTCAAGGCACGTTTAGTTGCCAAGGGTTTTACTCAAATCTTTGGCCTTGATTATAGCGATACATTTTCTCCGGTCGCTAAGATGGCGTCAGTCCGCCTCTTTCTTGCCCTTGTTGTTGTTCGTCACTGGCCACTCCTTCAACTTGACATCAAAAATGCTTTTCTTCATGGTGATTTACAAGAAGAAGTTTACATGGAGCAACCACATGGTTTTGTTGCTCAGGGGGAGTCTGGAAAGGTGTGTCGTCTTCGGAAATCCTGATATGGTCTCAAGCAGTCTCCTCGAGCATGGTTCAGTCGCTTCAGTTCTGCTGTTCAGGCGTTTGGCTTAATCCGCAGTAAAGTTGACCATTCTGTGTTTTATAGGATTACATCTCCTGATAAGTGTATCTATTTGGTAGTCTATGTTGACGACATCATTCTCACCGGAAGTGATCAAGACGGAATTCGTCAGTTAAAACAGCATTTGTTTAGTACATTTCAAACAAAGGACCTTGGGAAGCTGCGTTACTTCTTGGGAATTGAGGTGGCGCAATCCAGACAGGGCATTTCTATCTGTCAAAGGAAATATGCCTTGGATATCCTAGAAGAAACTGGTATGTTGGGGAGTAAACCAGTTGATACACCTATGGATCCTAATGTCAAGTTATTTCCCGGACAGGGGGAGCCGTTATCTGATCCTGGACGTTATCGGAGGCTAATTGGGAAGCTCAACTATCTTACTGTGACTAAGCCAGATGTTTCTTTTGTTGTTAGTACGGCTAGTCAGTTTCTTGATTCCCCTTGTGATTCACATTGGGATGCTGCTGTGAGGATCCTCCGATACATCAAAGGAGCACCAGGAAAAGGTTTGTTGTATTCAGATCAAGGAAATACAGAAATTTGTGGTTATTCAGATGCTGATTGGGCAGGATCACCCTCGGACAGGCGCTCTACTTCTGGCTATTGTGTCTTCTTTGGAGGAAACTTAATTTCGTGGAAGAGCAAGAACCAACCTGTTGTTGCTCGATCTAGTGCAGAAGCTGAGTATCGTGCAATGGCAAATGCTACCTGTGAGTTAGTCTGGTTAAAGCAGTTGATTTAGGAGCTTCATCTTTGTGAACAGAAACAACCCATGACACTCATATGTGATAATCAAGCTGCGCTACATATATCCTCTAATCCTGTCTTTCATGAGAGGACCAAACATATAGAAATTGATTGTCACTTCATTCGAGAAAAGATTCAGTCAGGAGAAATCAAGACTACTTTCGTCAACTCCTCTGATCAACTAGCGGATGTCTTCACTAAAGCTCTTAGAGGTCCTCGGGTTCAATATATTTGTAACAAGCTTGGTGCTCACAATATATACGCACCAGCTTGAGGGGGAGTGTTAGAATATATTAAATATGATTAGATATGATTAGTCTGTAATTATTATGATTAGATATGATTAGTCTGTAATTAATTCTGATTGTATTAGGTTTGTATTAGGTCTGGGCCTTTCACTTAAGCCCATTAGAGTCTCTATATATTGTAACCCTCTAAATTAGATCAATACACAACATATTATTTTATATTCAAGTGTGACCACTGCTCACATATTTCCTAAAGATAACGATTTCTAAGTCTATGAAAAGGAAAAATTAAAACTTGAGACAATCATTGAATAGTGAAGTATACATATGCTTTTAGTAGACCAAAAGGATCTTAGAGCTGCTTAATAGAAAATCATTTAAATTTACTCACATATTTACATTCAGATTGACTACATGAAAGCCTTAATTTGAATCATCATGTAGATGACCACTTTAATTAATTTTCAAAATCAATGTCAACATCAATATCACCTTTATCCCAAACTAGTTGAAGTAAGAGAAATAACTAATTCATCAACAAACATAAAATATCTTCCAGTACAACTGTGCCCGAACTAAAAAAGAAAAAATGAAAATTTTAAGACTAAAATTACCGTTTACTAAAACTAAACAAGTACAACTAACATCTTGTGACCACATGCCTAAAATAATTAGGGCTAAAACTTACAATACCCTAAGTCCCTATCATTATGTATGTATTATCAAAATTTAACATAGAGATATGCTAATCTTTTGGCACAGTAGAGAATATTTATTGCACGAATGGAGGAAAAATGAATCTGATTCACGTAATAATTTTAAGTTGATATTTGAAAACCAGAGAATGTTCATTTTGTTCAAACAAAATAGCAGAATTAGTATGTATCATTAGGATCCTACCTCAAGAAGAAAATTTGCTCCGGCAACAAGACAATCCATTTCATCTTCCTTGTCAAGAATGATCCCCAGTCTATCCTTGAAGAGGTCTGTATATACATATGCACCACCACCTGTGGCCTTCTCAACAATAGTTTTTCATTCTTAAGAAGTCATAACATAAATCCAAGTGCCTTAAGACTAAATAAATATAATTTTGTATCAAATGAAATATTTTTAATTTGAAACATCTCACTAAGGTTGTACACAAGCGTGTGCATATGTGTTTACCTTCTGGAACTATTAATATTCTTTCAATTTTAAATCAGCTTCTAGGAATTATATGTACGTTGATCATGGCAAACACAGAAGGTAAGGAACAGGAATTGTTTCAAATAATAGCAGTGGCAGACTCGAATTGATTACTAGCTTAGACAGAATCTATGGATTTTTCGATAAACACATATATGCACAATTAAAGAGGGCAATAGGAACAAATTCATTATAATATGACAAGCTCAATCTTTTTAGTTTGATTACCTTAAGAGCTATTGGCTGACTTCCAGGATTTTCTTGCTGCTGACTACCTGAATTCATCATCAGTTGCAATTAATTGCAAGGAAATAGCAGAGCAGTAATAAAAAGTTCAGAATAACCTCAAAATGGATTGGACATCATGCAATGTGTGATGGCAAGTCTTGTAAGTTTTATACTAGTATTTAAGTTTTTCAGGATATCCATCAGTTTGAAAGTCTTAACAATATCCACCATCCATTGCTTGATGTGAAGTCTTGTAAGAATTATATTTGTATTCTGTTCTTAAGGATATCCATCAGTTTTAAAATCTTTGAATCGTTTAGCTTTGGATTCTGTGATGCTTATTCACTACCTAATAAGCAAATTAAAATCAATCCTGATTTTCAAGGTCAAAGGCTAGCCGTTTACAGTTTAATAAGTTTCTTTATAACAATGTCTGACTAACACTTATGACTTCCATGACCAATTATATACGGAGCAAGTCAATAATTTAAAAATAAGGAAGGAAGAAAATAACTTCGAAAAGAGGAAGGAGAAATTCTATTCAACCAGCTTGGGAAACTAAAAATATACGGGATCAATACAACAGAAATTCAAGGAGCCAAAATAGCTAGTTAAGCTCAGTTCAGCATCCGAGCTGATCAAGTCTCAAAAAAAATCAAGAGTTGGTCTCATGCCTCAGAAAATTTGGTTGCATTAGTATCAAGAATAGCAAAGACAAAGAAACATAATTCTGTAAACACCTCCAAGACAAAGTTTCATGGTCTTGATAAATTCTATGCAATCATTTATCTTGCTTGTTTCAAACTTCTTAAAATTGAGCCTCCCATGAAGAACGGGATAGTTCCTCCTGCCTTTGGATTTCTCCAAAGCCTTTCTAGGAGATTTCCCCTCCTCACCATCAACAAAATGATCATCATCTTTTGTGAAGTAAACTAACTTGGCGAGGGATCCTGTCAACAGATACTTTAGTTAGACATGAGGGAAGCTGATGTGAAAGCAGAACTTTTCTTCACAATTTCCCAAAATTGGCCATAAATCTGACAAAAACAATGATATTTGGAAACAAATTTTCTAGAGATGCAAAATTTTTACCAAAAGCCAGTGTCATCCAGATTCTCAATATGCAAGTTAGTTCAACAAAAACGATGGCAATATCAAAAGATAATCCACAGCCAACAACATGACATCCAGTTAAGTGTGAGAAACTTAACTCATACCGCAGAATGGTGTGCTGAACATCCACACAAAATACTAACGGCCAGAAACTCAAATAATATTGTATTCATTAAGATGCAGACAGACAGTATGCTATGCATAATGATGGATATCAGAAAACAGAACGCAAAAAAAATAGAGATGGGAATTCATGATCTATATTCAGTATACTGGAAAACAGATACAATAGCTGACACATAGAAGGTCAGCTCTCTCCCTCAGCACAAAATGCTGTGACAAAACATAAACCAATAACAACCTACTCTACCAACATGATCCCTTCCCTTTTTATCATGATATCATAAAAGAATTCAAACCCATAATAGAATTTTCTCTCACTCTCCAATCCACAGCGTCCATGTTAGCCTCTAAGGTGTTGGATTGTCTACATCCTTACTCTTCCTAGTGTAAACTCTGGTAACAACTGCCCTATCACATAATAATAATAATATATACATTAAATCATAAAAAAAAAAGGATGTGTAAGAGAGGAATATGAAATGAAGTTGAAGTTTTCAGAAATTCAGTATCTATGATAATAAGTAATAGCCCAGAAAAATATGAGAAGCAAACAAGCAAAGTTGAACACAGTACGAAAATGAATAAAATAAAGGTGCAATTGTGAAGCAATTACAACAGAACATACAAAACAACAATCAAGCCTTAGTGGGATTGGATATATGGATTAATCAACGTCATTGGGCTCTATAAAAAATAATAATATAATAATAATAAAAAAAAAAAAAATTAGCACAAGGCATGTTTAATAGTTTCTCCTAATGTTTTGACAGCTCTTCTCTACCCATTTTTATTAGACTATCTTCCATTTGATCCCCTTTTGTCAGTGAAGCCTCAATTGGTCTTCTTCTCACACAACCAAACCACCTCAGGCATGTTTCTGACATCATCTCTTGATTCTCTTCACTAGTTGCTACTCCAATTTCCCACTGATACATTTGTTCATAATCTTCTCTTTTCTTGTTAGTCCACTCATCCACCTCAGCAATTTCATCTGCGCTACATTTATTTTTTGTTCTTGTTGGTACTTCATTGTCAAACATTCACCATAAAGTATCATTGTCTATATGATTTTCCTTTGAGTTAGTTAGGAAATTTGAAATCATTAATTATGACAGAAGCATTTTTTTCATTTCACTCATTTAACTTGAACTCTAAGAGTCACAACCCCATCAGGAAAACATATTGACCATTCTAATTTCTCTTCGGGGAGAGAAACTGAGACAGTAAATTTTTGGAGTTTTTAGACAGAACACTTTCAATGCCCCATTTCATCACTGGAGCCCGATACTCTCTGAAAGGGGGTCCAAGCAAAGATCAAGGGATAATAAATGTGAATTAATTTTATTTGATACTGGAGATATGGGAGGCAATGACAATCCAGCTTGACGTGACGTTTTTCTAGTCTAAGAAGTCTACGGTTGACATGGTCAAAACAATAATTTAATCTTAGAAACCCTATTGTTAATATCCTATAGACCAGTGTATATGAGACATAATTATTATAGCAGTAGATGGTGCTCAAATGCAGCTCAGCAGTTCCCCAGTAGCAAATTTTTAAAAGCTCTAACAGAGAGAACAGAACATGATTTCCAGAATTCTGACAAAATTAATGATATTGAGACACAGAATTAAAAAATAATCTCCAATTTTTCTATAAAATCAGTCAATATTAACAAGTTCCAAAGTCAACCCCATTCTCAACAAGCAAGTTAGATCAACTAAAGTGATATATAGCAATCCAACTAAATAACCATGATCCCTCCAGAATTTTCAATTTGTTATGAAGAGCCAGTGTAAGAGGCGAACCTGGGGCAGTGGTAAACAAGCCCCTATTATGGATTTTTTAATGAAGTGCCAGTTTCATTCTCATTCCTGATGCTAAAAGTACTAATTCAGGGCCAACATGGAAAGCAAACTTAGAATGCATTTGAATTTGAACAGGAGTCTTCTACTCGAGTGATGCATACATGATTAGAATGCAACCATAGACAGATAACAAACCAATAACAAAGTCAAAAGCATCACTACCAGCAACACAAAATGAGAAACTTCCAATCAAGATTAAAACTTTTCATATAAACGAGTATATCCCACAAAATTGCACAAAGCAAAGATGTTAAATTTATGTGAAAATCAATAAAACGAAAATTCGAGAAACAATAACAGCTAAAAAAAAAAAAAAAAATTGAAAGTTACCCCCAATATCCAAAGCCAGATGATATACATGAGTTGATTGGTTAGGATCCGAATTTGCTTCAGTTTGAATCTCTCTGGGATCCATAGTTTTTGTTATTCACACTCTCTATTATTCTTAGCCGTATTTACAATAAATAAATGGGTATATTGGTTAGACTTATTAGACTCGTCGTTGTGATAAAATATTTCGTTACAGTTTATTAGGTAGAGAGAGAGAGAGAGACCTGAGAAGAGAAAGTAGGTCTAAGGGGAATACGGAACATGACTATTTATTACATGTAAAGTATTATTTTATGATAGAGAATCTATTTATCAACAAAAAAATTTACAACTCTTATAATTAATTTTGATTTCTGTCAAACTAAATAAATTATAACCGTTAAATTGACGAAAATTAACGGTGATTAAATTAGTTGTAAGAGTTGTAAACTTTTTTTATGGCAAGTGGATCCGTTCCCTTATTTTACTTTATTTTATTTTTGGATAACCAACAAAAATCATGGGACATATTTTAATCCCTAAAAAAAAAAAGAGTTGATTTGTTATCTTCTAAAATTTAAAATAGATCCGGTTAATCAAAATTGTGATTCTTCTAAGATTCAAAGAAAATCTATGTTAATCTCTTAAAAAAATTAATATGAATCTATTTTGAATTTTATAAAAATCATAAATCAACTTTTTTTTAGAGATTGAAATTAGCCTCATGATATTTGTTAAAAACTCAAAAGGTATTTTAATCTACAGGCTCATTTGGTGGACAGGATAGGATAAGAACGGATAGGATAAGAGAGTTGGATAAGAGTAGGATATGATATGGGGCTGATAAGCCTATATCATTTCATGTATTTGATGAGCACATGATTAGCAATATGATAAGATTATGTTATCATATAATGTGTTTGAGGCGAACCAGATATCATCAGGATATGATACAAATAGACTAAAATACCATTTTTAACATAATATCATATAATTTATCAAAAATTAATTTTTAATTTTTTACATTTATTTAGAATTGTAATTTTAAACAAAATATTTTTAATTAATTTTTTTATCTGCATATCATATGTACCATTATTCAAAAAAACATGTTCCAAAAAAATTTCATTCAATTCAAAAAGGTATATCGATTAATTTTTCATTCCATGTGTTTTCTGCTCATTCAAATAAAAGAAAAATAATGAAAAAAAGTCAAAATTTGTAAATTGAAATTAGAGGTGACAATATGAATTGAGCCCGGCGGGTCAACCCTCCAAAACGGGGCGGATTGGGTTGAGGTTTTCAACCCACCAACTCACTTCAACCCGCCCCGACTAGAAGTGGTCAAAACAGGTTCAACCCATCGCAAGGCGGGTTGACCCACCGGGTTATAATTTTTTTTTTACAAGTAGGTAGTATTTCATTTGTCATTAAATTTTTATGATATCAAAAAAAAATTATCTTAGTAATTTCTAGAAAAAATAAAGAATAACAATTTTATTTATGACAAATGTTATCTATATATGGAGACAAATAAGTTCCTAAAGAATGTTTAACAAATATTAGTACGGGTAGGATATTCTTACTACTATTTTTTTCTACTACCACCACTCCACTACCACTTTAATCACCATTGGATTAGAGGAAAAGTTGAATGAAGAGAGAGAACAAAAAATAACTTTTGAATCCAACGGTGATTAAAGTGGTAGTAGAGTGGTGGTAAAAAAAATGTGTAGTAAGAATATCCTAACTCATATTAGTATATATTTAAGATTGAAACTGAAAAAAAATTAAGAGAAGTGTGAAATAAAATAAAATAATATTAGAAAAATTCATAAAATATAATTTATTTTCATAAAATATAACTTATTTTTGAATTTTAATTAATTTTTTTTAATTGGCGGGTTGGTGGGTTGTCCCGCCAACCCACCATAAAATGAGGTGGTTCATTTTTTCAATCCATATTTAATGGCGGGCAAACCCGCCTCACCCCATTTTTGACGAGTTGGTGACGGGTCAGGGCGGGCCAACCCAAATTGCCACCCCTAATTGAAATAAGTTAAAAAATAAAAATAAAAATAAAAAATACAGGATAATGAAACTTGAAGAAGTGATTTAGTCAGTGAATGTGCTATTCCGAGAAAAACTTTTTCACTCTTAAGATTTTCTCTCTCTCTTCAAGTGACTATTTCCTTTTCTTCTTCTTTCAGTTCGGTTTTTTTCTTAAGTTTCTTTCTTTTGTTTCTTTTTTAAGTTCCATTGGCCAATTTTAATCACAAGAGGATGTTCAGGATTCGGTCTTCGCCGACCACCGCTTGAAGACTCTTCCTCTTCTGCATTTTTTTTCTCCCAAATTTAAGCCGCCATAAATCTGAGTTTTTTTTCACTTGAATCGCTTCAATGGTGAAAACATTTGTTTCCACTAATCTTATGCGTTTACACGTCAATCCCAACCAGTTTGAGAGAAAAAACAATCTCAAGTACGATTCAGATCGTTTGAAGGAAAAAAAATGTAAAAGCGTACGATCCTTCTATCTTCCACGTGATTTTAACAACAGTGAATACAACTTATAATTTGGGACGTAGAAGGAGAAAGAATAAACAAAATATAATGCAGTAAATATAAATATATTGGGAAGCGTGGGAATATATTGGGTATCCAATATTGATATCCTATCATGTTGAATCTTAACCCAACTCCCCCCATAGGATAAGAAATTATGTATTGGATAGGATAAAATGAGATAATAGGATAAGCTAATCATATCTTATTGACCCACCAAGCATGAGATAAAAGTAGAATATAATAAGTTATCCTGTCATATATTCTTTATCAGGTGTTCCAAACAGGCCCTACATATCCTTACCATGATATGCTTTATAGTTTATACAATTTTTACAAAATGGTATTATTCTTAGCCCGGTATAAATCAGTCAAGTTATGTCAACCTTTAATGTAAATGATTAACTTTATATAAAAATATTTTAAACCTGACTTAATTTGTTAGTATTATATAAATCAAATTATAAATTTAATCTGTTTTATTTAAAAAAAAAAAAAATACAAGGTTTGAAGTTGCCCATCAAATATTCAACAAATGAGTATAACATTATGTGAAATGTAGGTTATGATTTTTTAGTTTATTCTTTATATTTAAATTGATGAAAAATTAAAATAATACAATAATTGAAATTACATCACAGCTCAAAATATTATTTTATTAATAACATGATATTATTTATTTATTTTTTGGTAAATAACATGATATTATTTTCTTAAAAAATAATAAAATATTATTTTATTAAGAAATATTATTTATAAAAATATACAAGTCTGGAGACTTCAAGGTCGGGTTTTCTAAAATAAATTTGTTGCCTAGTTTTTAAAAAGATCTTTTAATGAGCTAAAGTATATATTATTTTTAAAATGAGTTAAATCAAATCAAGACAAAGGCATTGGATACGTAAGACTAAAATTTTAATAATTATCAAGATCAATTTTGTCTAAAATTATTATGAATACAGAAACAATCTAGTTGTGTTTAGCTTTAGCAAAGGCATATTTTTATATGCTTCAATTTTTAGTTTACGAAAATAATCCCAACACAAGTTCCATGGGTTTGAAAAGCTGCTGACATTGAGAGACTCATTTGATTCTGTGCTCACCTTTATAATTCTCATATTCTAAAAATTTGCTGATGTTTCTACTTGTGCTGCTGATGATATGTTCAATGAGCATTTTTTCTTTTACGAAAATAAATATTGTTTCTCTTATAAGTTTTAGAGACTTAGTTTCTTTTATGCTTACTTTGTAACCTTTAATATATTCTCAACCAAACTATGTCAAATGTATTTATTGCTGACGTCATTTATTTACTAGCTTCTTTTATATTACATTTTTTTTATTGGTTGTAGATGGATTTACAAAATCAAACTGAAAGCTGATGGCTCAATAGAGAAGCACAAGGCTCGTTTAGTAGCTAAAGGCTACACTCAGTAAGAGGGAATAGATTTTTTTGAAACTTTTTCTCTAGTAGCAAATTAGTTATTGTGAAGACTCTCCTTATTATTGCCTCCGGTCAACATTGGCAGTTACATCAAATATATGTAAATAATGTCTTTTTGAATGGTGATCTATTTGAAGAAGTGTACATGGAAATACCTCTTGGATATCAACATCAGGAGGAGAGTCTTAACCAAAATATCAAGCATGCTTGCAGATTACTGAAGTCTATCTATGGCCTAAAACAAGCATCCAGGCAATGGAATTTTAAATTTTCTAGTTTCTTATTGTAGTTTGGCTTTACTCAATCCAAGTATGACTACTCTCTTTTCACTAAGGTAGTGTTTGGTAGAAGATTTATTTTGAGATTGATGGAAAAGTGTAAGTGGATATTAAAAAATACTACGTTTGGTTCAGGTTTTTGAAAAAAAATACTAGACAAATAGGATAGATGGGGAAATGACTTTTGTGTTGATTTTTGGATGAAATTCACTGTTACAGAATACCACTTGAGATGTGGTATTTTGAGATAACTGGGGAAGTGAAAAAAACAGGTGCGAAGTTTTTTCCGAACATAGATTTTGCAAATTTAAATAAATTTCCCTGGTAATATTTCAGTCAACCAAACAATTTTTTTTACATTTTCCTATTAAACTCATTTTTCAACCATTTTCCTAGTAATTACATTTTCCTAGTATTCAAAAAATTCCTCCTCAACCAAACGCCCCCTAAGGGATCTGGTTCTTCATTTGTTGCATTGGTGGTCTATGTTGATGATATAATCATCATAGGACCTTACACTGCTGTTATTGCCTCTGTCAAGCAATTACTCCCCACCAACTTCTAGCTCAAGGACTTGGATTTACTTAAATATTTTTTAGGCCTAGAAGATACTAGATTCTTAGCTTGCAAACCTACCAATATTCCCATGGACCCTCAAGTTCAATTGTAGGCTGATACTGGAGATCCCATTCCAGATCAATCGCAGTATAGAAGACTAATAAGTCGCCTTTTATATCTCACTCTCTCTAGACCGGATATCAATTTTGTTGTGCAGAAGTTGAATCAGTTTGTATCTCAGTTTTAGAAGCAAGAACACCAGATGTTACATATGCAGACACCAAATTGGTGGACATTTGATTTGCTAGAGCATTCTCAGTAGTTCCAGTGGAGCCTTTCTGCTCAAATTTGAAACTCGTAGG